GACCTTGTCTTTCAAAGCCTTGTTCCCCCTTGCTCACAGTGCCACTGAAACTATGCTACTGCCCCCCACTATTTCCAATGCATATACATGGGTTGTGGGTATGGTGGGCAAATGACAAACTGTGGGAGGAAATTTTAGCATGGTAATATATAGTGTTTCAACTTATGGGTACTCTGTCATGGAGTAGGAAAGTCAACAGAAGTAGTCCTGTATCTTTATTGTTGGCCTTTTCCACTTTGTCTTTTTTCCTTTGGCCATAATCAGAGCCAACAAAGCAGGGCTAGATAGATTCTCATCCAACAGTAAAGAACAATAAACACTTGCTGAAGACAGATCTGCTGAGTTGTTCCCTGCATGTGTGACATGGCTTTGCTTGTTGTATACTCTCTAGATTGAATCTATTGCACAATGATTGTATCTAACATTCCCCCATTTTAGAGATTGAGAAGTTGAGGCAAGGTACAACTTGGAAAGTATAAGACAAGCCAAGATTTGGAAACATGCATTTTTGCTTCTGTGGTTAGGGTCCTTACCACCTTGTAAATTGCCTCTGAGGAAATAGGTGGTTTCCTGCCTTTATTGGTATCGATTCCTAAACACCATGGGGAAACAACTCTTTTGGTTCAGTTGAGCAGACTGACGGAACTAGTGAGCATACTTCATCTTTTCTCTAGATTAAGCTGTCACCTGTATTGTACTCAGATGTAGGTTAAAGTTCAGTAAACATCACCACTCAAGTAGAGCCAAGTAATGAGCAGCCAGAAGTTCCTTTTTCAAAGTTCAAGGTCAAGACTTCAGAAGGACTAATACTTTGAGTCCTTTGAGGAAAAGCAACTGTTTTAGCCATTCTTTCCACCCTGCTGATCTCTTGTCTCTCATGACTTTCCTGTGACTTTTTCTTCTGTCAATGTCTGAGTCTCAATTTTCACTCCATGTGGGAAAAAAGATCAAATTAGGACCCACCCCAATGATCTTTGTTACTATTATAAATAACATAACTCAAAATATGGTCATATTCTGAGGTACTAAGGATGAGGGTCTGAACATACAGATTCCACACCTGAGTCCACAACAGTGAGATCACAGTTATAGCTGTAATCCATCACATACACTCTATCCCTTTAAAATAAGACAAAGGCTCTGGCACACCATAAATGACAAACAGCCCTTGTATTAATTATGGAGCATCTTAGAAGAGTTGCAGATTGCTGTGTAGATTTAAAGAATCTCATTACATCAAAGGGACTAGTATTTTAGTGCTGGTCATTGGCTCCACTAGGTCTTTAAGAGCTCTTGGAGGCCTTTACAAGTATCTATCATGGCTGTCCTGCAAGCTGAAGATGTTGAGAAGCCTTGCTCAGAGATATTTCTCATGAACCTCCTTCACATGCATAGCAACCTGCCTGGTTCCTCCCGATCTCCCTGGACCACAGTTGGTTGGTGTGCTCAATGATGTATACATGGGCTCTCTTCCAAAAGAAGATCTGTAGAATTCCTGCCCCTTGAGATGCCCACCCCTCTCTTTTCACCTGTGCCAGGGGTTTCATGGACACATAAGCCAATGAAAGATGCTTGACATTGCTAGAAGAACTGACATGGCAAGGAAAACCATCCTATCTGGCCCAGAATAATCACATATTCTCATGTCACTGGGATGAATCACCTTCCAAGCACTTCCACCCCCTCACAGAGGAATCTAGGGAACATGGCCTTTAATGGAACTGTAAGTCAACCAGTCTTCAGTGCTTCTGACCCCACTCTCCAAAAACCTTCCTTTACCTATCTACTACCTTCTAGCCTTTCACAGCTCTGCAGTGGCCCAATCCTTCCCAAATCCTTTGGGCTACTTCTCTCCCTAAGGAGAACCCACTGCTTCAAACCTGAAGGTCTTCTAGGCTCATCAACATTAGTAAAGTCACCCATAATAACCCTAGTTCTTGTACCTTGCAAAAGAACTCATTTTCAATACTCTATTTTATATAACATTTTCCTTTTTTTGGAGTGGAAGCACAATGCAGGGTCTAGCTAATATTATGAGTCAGTCTGTTCTCTGAGTCAGTGGCTCATCCTCTGTTGATGGACAGTGCACATCTAAGAACCTTTCCTACAACTGCTCTGAGGCTTCTATGCGTTGGGTTAAACAATAACATACCAGACATCTCCAGCCATCACTTGTGGGTACCATTTTGTGGCTACTTAGACCTCATTTCTTTGAGTGGATTCTAATGGCTGCTGGTGGAACAACACTAAGACACTCACTTTTCAGAGCTTGTCAGATATTCCTATGATCCTTCTCTCAGAGCATCAACTGTTGCTTTATTGTTTTCCTTCCAAACTTCCCTAATACTACACCAAAATGGAAAAAACAGGTCCTTTCTTAAAGCTTTCAAATTGTCTTCCGTGCTAATTCGATGTAGCACATACCCTAATGTACCATGACCTTTGACCTATATATTTTTTTTTCCTGATATCTCCATTTGATATTATGACATCCTCTTTTCCTGGCTCAGAATAGGGGTCTCATGTTCTTTGATAACTTTACTGATTAAAGAGACCAAAGTTGGAAGTCCATGTACTCTGTCTGCTCTACAAAGTAAATATCTGCATTCAGGGAGAGTTTTTTCATGTTTCTCAGATCAGACGCTTTGGGGGAAATTCTAGATGATGTATATTTAAGTCATCCAGGCCAGACTAGAGATCTACATGGAGGAGGACAGAGTATATGTGAAGCTCCCTGGAGACTTTCTGCATGATTCTTCATGCTAGAACACAAATCATGGATTGAAACTCTAGAGTTCCCTAAACCCCATCTTAGTTTATAATTAATGTTCATTGTTACCTTTTTTTCCTCTCAATGATGGACAGTTGGCCACCCATCTTTCCAATTCTGGGGATATGGTCATGAGCCACATATCTGTAGGGGCTAGGAATCCCAAGTTAGGTCCTTATGCTTGTACAGCAAGCTCTTTACCCACTGAACAACTATCTCTTTGTCCCCAAACTATCAAATTATGCTTTCACCACAATTTGTGACCAGTTCAAATCAGCTTTTTAAATCAATAATTGTCCCCCCTCCTTTTTAGCTTTTAAACTTTTTTATTTTATTTATTTTGTATGTATGTAGGGGTAGGCATGGGTGTGTCTATGGTGTGTGTGTGGAAGGGGTGGGAACACAAATGCCAGTGTGTATGGAAGTCAGAGGACAACTACAGGGAGTTTGTTCTCTCTATACACCTTACATGTCTTTCAGGGATCACACTCAAGTGTCAAGGCTTGCACAGCAAGCACCTTTACCCAGTGATCAATCTCACTGGCCCTTATTTTAGCACTTTTGGACTCAGCTTTATGTGTGAGAGGTGTCCTGGTAGTTTATAGCCCCTGAAGACTTCTCAACAACCAGGCCACTGAGATGCTACTCTGAATTGGGTTGTTCAATTCCTTTAAAGATCAGATATGACAGTTCCTGGAGTAATCTAGCATGCTCCTTGAAGATGACTCCACAGGATTGCATCACATGGTATTTGTCATCTGCTGTGGCCTCAAAGCAAATTGCTGAGAATAAAAACACGCACTGAGTTTCCTATCTTCTCTGTGTGTGGAAGGCATAATAGACAGGTCCTACTAGATAACCACAAGCTTAATTCCAACACGAGAACAGGTTAGAGAGATTGCTGCCCTACCCTCTATAGTCAGAGCATAGAGATGAGAAACACAAGGCATTTCTCAGGGAGAATTATTAAAGCATAAATATTATCCTTTAATGTTTAAAATAGATTATTTTAAAGATAACATCACTTCACTATACCATTTTGAAATTTGAATCTATTTCTGTTTTCTGTCTTTGGTTGACAGTTTGCTTAAAAAGATGATTTTGTTGCAGGATGGCTCTGCCTGAGATATCTTAATTATATGTGGTTAATGTTGCTGATGCCAACAAGGGCTTCCCATACACTCAGATGCTGACCATATCAGAGCTAGAGCCACAGACAATGATTATCACCTGAGCTGGAGGGCTTGATTATTATACTGTGGGCATGGTAGATCTGCCTGATTTCATTGTAATTCCTAAGTTGTCTGTTAGACCCCACCAACTCACTGGAGGGGCTACCTCTATACAGCATTCCTTCCAGAAGGAGTGGATGTAGTCTTGAGAATTTGAAACAAGTTTATTAAGATGTATCGGAGATTGAGGCTCTCATCCAAGGAATGCTACGTTGGGAAATGAAGGTGGGGATGTGGGGTCCCATCATTGGACAGTTAAGCACAAATACAGTTGTCAAGGCGAGGAGAGAGGGTGTTGTTTAGTATTGAAATCATGTATTCCAGATGTGGGCACTTGGTAGTCAATCTGCTCTGAAGTGACATGCTGTTGAATCTTTAAAGGGCTTCAGCCTGGGAGAGCAAAATCTGATTGGGCAAATTGCTAAAATATTTAAAGTGCAGCCTGTTAAAGCTTTTACTGCGAAGAGCATCGAGTCAGAAGTTGTAGTCAGAAAGAGGGAGTAATTGGCTTTCCATCCTGATGCCAGTCAGCCAGCATGAGGCTCTGTTCCTATTCCTTACTCTTCATTGCCAATGCTAATAGCAACCCTTTGGGGTGTGTGTGTGTGTGTGTGTGTGTGTGCGCGCGCGCGCGCGCGCGCGCGTGCGCGCGCTTACATGTGTACTGGGAAAACTGGATAGCTGGTAAAATGAGACAACAAGGAATGAGATAGCCATAAAAAGTGAAGCTGGATCCACAAAATGACATGAAGCCCATTTATAAAATACACAGGAGAAAGGCAGAATTACTACCTGACAAAGTCAAGTGCCCTTCCAGAGGGGTGTGTGGTTTGGGCAGCTGCCTTTCAAGTGATGTGCTCTGCAGGACAGAAGATGGCCATTGGTGACAAGCACTTTCTCTGCATCTGTCATCTCCTCTGAGATGTAACTCAGGGGGACCCTTTGCATTTATAATTTATCACATTTTCCACTTAGGTTTCCCTGCCTTTTCTCCCCAGGCATGACCCTTTGTTAATTCCTGGCAATGATCAGATTGACAACATGGATTCCAATGTGAAAAAGTACGACTCTACTGGAATGTTTCATTGGTGTGCACCCAAGGAGATTGAGAAAGTCATCCTGGTGAGTGAGGGAATGTGGATTCGATGGCCTTCCCCTCTGCCTGGCATGAGGACTTTTGCTCAGAGGGAAGATTTCCTAACTGAGTAGTAGAGGCCACTGTCATTTGCCCTAGCCATTTTTGATGACTAAAATTCTTATCAGAGATTGAAGTGGTGAGATCTCTGATCAGAATGTGAGCTTAGAGCAAAATTATTATTGTTTTTTTTCTCTCAAGAGCAGAATTTTCATTCTCTTAAGTTTTTACCAGGACAATAGTGGTGGTTATGTGCTGTCACAGGTATCATGGGAGGTGGAATGCACAATATTCCTGATCCTCATGTAGCTCTGGGGGCACAGCCTGGCCCTGCCTATCATCTGTTAGTTGCATGGCCTTAGGCCAGTTGTTGGATGATGCATTTTAATTACTTCATCTGTAAGGAGACAGGATGAGGACTGCTCTAACTTCATAGGATTGTGGTGAAAACCCAGCACATGGCTCCACAGAAGCACCTTTCTCTTACTTGTTGATATTATCATGATTATGTTTAAATGTCATAAAAATAGAAACATTACTTGCTTTGTTTTCTGTTGTAAGAAATTTTTGTTTTGTTGTATTATGTATTCAGGTGTATACTTGGTGTGTGTGTGTGTGTGTGTGTGTGTGTGTGTGTGTGTGTGTGTGTGTGTGTGTGTGTGTGAAGCCAATGTCAAGTGTATTTCTCAATCACTCTCTACTTTCTCTTTTGAGGCAGGGTTGCTCACTGGACATGGAACTCACTGATTCAGCTAGACTGTCAGACCAGTGAGTCTCAGGGATCCTTTCTCCACCTCCCTAGCACTAGAATTTTGGGCATGCATCACTATATCCAGCTTTTGCTTTTTAATATGGGTCCTAGGAATCAAACTCAGATACTTGTGCTCATGTGGCAAGTGCTTTATCAACTAAGCTATCTCCCAGGACATACAGTAGTGTTTCTTTCTTTTCTTTTCTTTTTTTTTTTTTTTTTTGGTTTTTCGAGACAGGGTTTCTCTGTGTAGCTTCAGAACCTATCCTGGCACTTGCTCTGGAGACCAGGCTGGCCTGGAACTCACAGAGATCGACCTGCCTCTGCCTCCCCGGTGCTGGGATTAAAGGCGTGCGCCACCAACGCCCGGCTGCAGTAGTGTTTCTTACCCTAACATGTTTTCAGTCCTTCTCAACACATGAAACAAATAGGCAAGTGCTTTTGCTGAGGATGGCAGTGTAGGGCCATGGTCAACTGTCCAGAGCTCTGAGCACTGCTTCAGGGATGGCTTGTGAACACCTCTAGAAATAGCAGGCTTCTCCTGTTTTGTCCCAGGAAAGTTAGCACAGATAGTTCATTTTACTCTCTATGTTTGTCTTTAGGTTTCAGAGGCTACATTTGGCTTCCTTAGAGTTTATTGTTTTGCTAATCCATGAAAAATGGGTTAATAGTCAAGAAGAACAGTCAGACAGGGCTCTTTCCTGCTTGTGCCTCTAATCGCCAGATGGCTATAGGTCTACTTCATTTTCAGCTAGGAAAAGCCTATCATTTTCAATTTCAGGGCCACCCTTCCTTAGCAAGGACTATTCCAGATCCTCAGAATTGTTTTGTGTGCTAATATACTAGATTTCCCCACTGTATTTTAGCTAGCTAGTGTTTGTGTTTTCAAATTAATTATAAATGAGTATTGTGAGCCAATACAGCATTCTGCTGGAGGCATCTCAGAGTTGTGAAGTCTGAGGACTAAAATACATGAGTCAAAATGCTCAGCAAACAGTCACTGCTTGATTTGCCAGAAGGGGAGACGGTTCTAACCAATTAGATTCTCTGTTGTTGGTCACCTATGGCTTAGTCATATACTGCATGCTTCATCTGGATCCAGAATGTGATCAATATCCCCTATCAAAGGAAGGAATTTAGGGGGATGAGTTCATCTGAAAAAAAGCAGCATCACTTGAGGAAACACTGATGCAAACACACCATGTGTTAGGTACCATTCTTGTTCTGATGACATATAGAACTTGCCTTCTAGGGAATGCCTGTGGGGAGGAGAATGAGTCTCTGAGAACAATTTCCATATGAATGAGGACATTGTGAAGAAAATTAAGCAGGGTCCTGGGGGTGCTACTATCCAAGAAACCCTCTCTGCAGTAATGAGTAGTTTGAATTTTCACCCAATGAGTAGATGAGAAGAGTAGGGGTACGGTACTTTTGTGGAGATGCTTATGGAAGCCCCTTGTTCACAGAGTGCAGGAATCTAGTGGCTTTGGGTGATTTGCATATAGGAGAGACAGTCCTCTAATTGGAAAGGAGATATAAAATTAACAATGAAACAAAATTTTTGAGACCAAGTGGGATGAGATACAGAAGTGTTCTTCAGATCCATGGATTAAGAACCAGTCTAGATTTAAAATAGCCAGGGGTATCCTATCAAGTACAAGTAGGCAATACTCAAGGGGTTGAAGGGTGCATGGAGAAAATCCTGAAGGATTTTTCTGTTGGATCTTAAGTGTGGAAAAATCAGACTTTCCAGGTTTGAGGTGCAGGACTGGAGCTTTACATACATCTCCAGGGGGTATAGCTTTGGCATAATGGAGAATTGGTAATTGCCCCAGGCCTAAGCTTCTGAGGTTATCTTCTATGCCTGGACCATTCTTCCAACTGGTACCTAGCTCATTTTTGTATTCTTGATCTCCAGTTTCCATTCTTCACTGCATTTGTACTTGCTTGTTGAGAGGAACTAGCTTCTTAGGTGACCAGGCCCACTGAAAATATTCAGGAGCCCAATGATAGCACACCCCAGAGGACTTGTCTTTCTGCTTCTGGCTTCAGGGACTGGCACTTCCATGTAGCCTGAATAACTAACTCATGTCTTCCTCACAAAGTGGGATGAGATCATGGAAGCTCCATAGAAGCCTACCCAGTCACCTTTCATGAGCTTGTGTCTCAGGTTTCCCGTCTACTCTGGAAACCAGCAATGATCATAGCTCCTCCTTTTCTCTAATGACCAGAGAATGAAAGCTAGCTTCCTCCTCTCCTTAGGGGTTACTGTAATAACCCTGACATTGTCATGAATTGCAATATTGGCATTTAAGCAATCAATACCCTGGTCAATGCTAGGGATTAAATCAGGCAGAGGTTGATATGTACAGTGGACGTTAACATGCTTCCCTCAGTCCCATGGGTCGTTATGAGCATGCAGTGAAGAACAGGAAAGATGGCAGGCAGGTTGAAGGTGTTGCCTAGAAGGATAAACAAAGAATCCCCCCCACCTGACCTCATCCTGTAGTTCTTTTCACCTCTACAATGAACAAATGACCAGCAATGGACAGATATCCATTTGCATTTCCCAGGTAACTGGGGTCCTCCCTACATGGCAATATTCCTTTCTCTGTCACCCTTGGGGATACAGAATTGGGATTGGAGAAAGACATTGGCCTCTATCTTTACTGATTGGCCTCTAGCCCATTGTAATGCCTATTTGCAGGTTTTTATATAAGGCAAGCCCTTCCAGGAGTGATCCAGGAAACCTCAAAGTTTGGACATGGCATCAGTATCCTTTTTCTATAGATTAACATATTCAGTGATTTAAGTCTCACAGGCCATGTGATCTCTGTCACAATCGTCAACTCTGCTTTCTATGAAATTTGCCATGGAAAATACCTAAACATTATGACTTAGCTGTGTCCCAACAAAACTTTATTAGAGTGTGAATTTCATATTATTATCACTCATAATGACATTTCTAATTTTGATTTTCTTTTTAGTTATTGTGAATTTTAAAAACTAATTTTTACACCGGGCGTTGGTGGTGGACACCTTTAATTCTAGCATTCTGGAGGCAGAGGCAGGTAGATCTCTGTGAGTTCGAGGCCAGCCTGTTCTATAGAGCGAGTACCAGGATAGGCTCCAAAGCTACCCAGAGAAACCCTGTCTCAAAACAAACAAACAAACAAACAAAGAAAAAACTGGTTTTTACTCAGTAGATGTGTAGAAGCTTGTGGGGTATCATCAGATTGAGTCTACAGGTCACAGCAGCCAGCCTCTGGCCTAAGATATCACATTCTATCTACTGATACTGTGATGGACTATGCCACCTCACTGAAACATCTAAAAAGAGAACCCCAAATTTCAGTTAAGACAAACCAATGAATAGGACCATTTAATCATCTTCTTAACAAAAGGACCTAAAAAGGCACCTAATTTTATCAACTATGCCATGTATATTAAGGCTTCCTTTTCTTCCCACATACATAAACAACCCCCCCTTTTTTTCTTTGTTCTCCTAAAGATTGTTTTGCCCTGTCTCCTGCTCACAAGTCTACCTGGCACATCCTTCTTAAATACATTGTTCAAGAAGGATTGGTAATGTGTGGGTATATGTTTACAGGAATTTATAAGTACAATACATGTCCTTGCTCAAATTAGAGGTGAATATATAACATGTATATAATGACAAAGTAGAAACAATAGCTGTCTTGTAAGCCTTACCATTATTTTATATATTCTTTAACAATAAATAAAATCAAGAAGGAAAAAATAGTACTTTTCTGCATGTGCACTTACAGTATGCCCAAAAATTATTAGAGATATTTATATGCTCTCTAACTTGATGGAGATGGACATTTAAACCAGTGTTTGACTTCCTAAAAAATTGTATTATAAGACAGCCCACATGGCAACCTGAGTTTTACTTTTTTATCTCCCCTTCCCCTAATATACTTTTATCCATTAGAATGGGTACCTTGTTCAATTCTATATATGATATTGAAGAATCACTTCTTTTCTATTATTCTGAACTAAATTAAACATTGTTTATTGTAGTACAAATAATAGCTGTATTGGATACCTTTGTGGTATTATAATAAATTTCCAGAGACAGCTAACTCATAAAGAGAAAAGGTAGCTCAGAGTCTTTAAGAGGTTCAAAGTCTCATGTTGGCCTATCCCATTTGCCTGGTAGATACTCATAGTAGGAGTATGTAGAAGCAAACATGACCAGAGAGAAATGAGATGGGTATGTTCAGGTTTGCTCTTTTCATATTCATCATCTCTGGAGAGCTCAAGAAGTCACATAAGAACTCTCAGGCAGTTGCACATGAACTGTCCCACACCTCCAATAAGGTGTAGCTTCAATTCATAGAAGTTCTGCCATATAATAATGCCACCCTGGAGACAAAGACTTTAGTAACAATGGGTCCATGGGAGACACTCAGACCATATGTAAATAACACAGCAATAGTACACGGTAAGCACTCAGCCAATGTTTATCTTTCTCCTTTGCTTGAATGATGCTTTCTCTCCTTAGATCGATGTTAGGAGCTCTTCTCTCTGAAAGTTTTGCACTTACTTCTCTTTGTTACAGACTCGAAGTGAAGCTGCCATGACTGTCCTGAGTGGCCATGTTGTAGTCTGCATCTTTGGGGATGTCAGCTCAGCCCTGATTGGCCTCCGGAACCTGGTGATGCCACTCCGTGCTAGCAATTTTCACTACCATGAGCTCAAACACATCGTGTTTGTGGGCTCCATCGAGTACCTCAAGCGAGAGTGGGAAACACTGCACAACTTCCCCAAAGTGTCCATATTGCCTGTAAGTCAAGGTCACACTATTTGATGTTTTGCTCTTCATCTTTGCATTCACAAAAGCAAATCCCAGGTGGCTATAATTGTTGAAGCTTTGATCATGTCTCAGCTCCTTCATGTGGTTTCAGGCCTGAGGATGTAGCAGTCCTTCTGTGTTCTACTAAGAAAGTCAAAACCCTAGGAGGCCTTATTAAAAGGAATTTGCAGCCAAGTGAAGCCACTTGTCAGGGGTGAGGTTGAGCTACCACCACATGCATTAACCATACTAGTGTCTAAATTCTTTCCTAGGTGAAATTTGCAATGTTGCCTTATTTTGATATTTACATCAAAAATTCACTTATAAAATTCTCATTGGCATTTTAATTTGACATGGCTAATACTTAGAGAAATGCTGATCTGTCCCATCTTCCTTCTGATATTGACCAAATAAAGAGAATTATCCCTACTGTACAGAATTCTAAACCTCTTTTGTGGACCAATCTCTGCCCACCCTTTGTTTAGAAAACCAGCAATTTTTTCCATGGCTTTGTTTTGTGTGTATGTATGTACATATACAAATATATATATATATAATATTCAAAATATATATACTTATATATAATAAATATTATACAGATATAAAATCATTATTATGAAGAGCACTAGGACACCAATCTATAGAAAACAATTTGGGACTCCATAATTTAATGTAAAGATATGAGATAATGACTTAAAAGTCATATAACTAGCCACTTTCTAATTATAGTATATTCTTCACAAAATCATAATATTCTTCTCAAAATTTTATGTAGTTGACTGTGTCACAAATTCAGGAAAACGTTAACTGTCCTCCAGTAATTTTTCTTTTTTTGTTTTGTTTTTTGGGACAGGGTCTTACCATATAGTTCTGGCTGTCCTAGAACTCACTATGTAGACTAGGGTGGCCTTGAACCTACAGAGATCTGCCTGCCTCTGGCTCCTGAGTGCTGAGATTAAAAGCATGTGCTACCACTGCCTGGCTCTTCCAGCTATTTTACTATTTTTTAACATAATATTTAGAGATAAGCAACTCCTTAGTTGTCAAGAGGTATTTTTTTTCCTACAAGTCGGGATGAGTATCACAGTTGTAGAGCCTTTACAAATCCCCCCAAATTTAGCACACTTAAGCACAGTGGATTGGTACATTAAAAGCCTTGACCTATATCCTCATTATTTAAACATTCAGTCATATAAGGGCAGGTCAAAGAAACACAAAAACTTTCAATGTATGTCATTGATGTTCTTGTGGTTTGAAATCGTATGTCTACAACTGGACATGGTTTCCCTTACAATTATTGATGGGTTTCTTACAAAGTGAAAATTAAAAGAATATGGACATAGACAGCTGTTGTTTATACATAGCAATGTGATACAGAAAGTTGGTCACACTTAATTTTGTACCAAGAGATCATAAAAACTGATGTTTCTCTCCATCTCTCAAGATACTGTTCCAGTGCCTGGACCAGGACCTTTTTGAACCTATGACCCTACATGCTCTTGCACTATGGGTCTTCTTTGTAGCAATATTTAGGAGCCCTGGAAGAGAGTCATGACATTCACTGAGTCATAAGAAGAGTTGATGGGCTCCATAATTTTATCCAGGTCCTATTTTCCCAAAGCCTATCTAGTGATAAAACAAAAGGAGAAGCATACAACAGCTGGCAAACCCTTGGCCAAGATAGGCTGTAGGTTGAAGACTCCTGGGGTATCCGTATATACAAGAAAATTTTTAAATAAACCTAGAGGGTCAGTGGTATTGATAGCTGGATGGGTCTCCAAAAATAATGCTGTATGGCTACTGGATTCTCTGACTCAAGATGATCCAAGAAGTTCTATTACAATGTCCTTAGGTAGACAGCATGTAAGAGTGCTGGTCCTATCTTTTCATCATATCTATGGTTGCTCTCCATCATTAACCTTGGATCTGCAGAAGTTTTTCTACTGTCTCACATTGTTATGGAGTTTTAAAAAAAACCTCTGTTTACTGGCTTATTTATTTTTAATTGCACCAGTAATATACAAATCTGTTCTTGTTATAAAATATTCAAACAATATAGAAGTATATAAAGTCAAAAGCAAACTTTCCACTTCATCCTTTCCTCTCCCAGAGGTAATTACTGTTATTAGTTTAGTGTATAGTTTTTCCCGAGTTTTCTCTTTGAATTTACATACATTTATAAATATATAATTTTTACTCAAGCAGCTTATTTTTTTCTAAATAAATGGGGCTATACTTTTAAATTGTTCTAGATCCCACCTCCCTACCACTTACTAATTCCTTTATCTTAGAGATTATTGCAACTCAATAAGTATGTGGAGGGCTTGCTCTGGCTGCATTTGCAGTACACTTGTCAATTGTATAAGTGTCAAAAAATATATTTAACCACTCTTATGTTGTTGGATAATTATGTAGTTTCCTTGGATTTTTTTCTTGCCGAAAATATGCAATAAAATTTTATAGCCCAAAGCTTGTCCTCTCCCCTTTGCAAGATGCACCCCAATTCCACTGGCTCCCACAGCCTCCCACTCAAGCAGAACCCCGAGTCCCACCTCATCACACCCTGTTTTGCTGATTTCCCCATGGCTGCTTTGGAAATTCTGATCGGATATGCTGTCTTTTGCCAGAGACAGAAGTGACCTGCTATTAAATAAACAGGCATTTGAAACCCACCCCCTCGTTATGTTCTGAAAGGCAGAGGTTGCCACAGGACAGTTACTTAAATCAAGACAATTTCCAGGCAGGAGGAAGATGTAGACCCTGGCATTATTCGTCTCTCGTTTGTTAGTAATAGCTTGATTGAGTATTGAGAGCTGGCCTGAAATGCTGCCATCAGCACCGACTACCCTTTAGATTAGCGTGCAGCCCTTATTCCCTGAAATGTAGTTAGGCCAGCTTAATGTCAAGACATAAAAAAGATACTTGTTAAATAATGTCCCAAAGCTCTGGCTCAATCTTTAATTTGTTTTTATTTTTTCTTTCTTTCCCTCCTCTCTCTCTCTCTCTCTCTCTCTCTCTCTCTCTCTCTCCCTCTCCCTGCTCCCCCCACCCCCATGCCAAAGGGTACACCATTAAGTCGGGCTGATTTAAGGGCTGTCAACATCAACCTCTGTGACATGTGCGTTATCCTGTCAGCCAATCAGAATAATATTGATGATACTTCGCTTCAGGACAAGGAATGCATCTTGGCGTCACTCAACATCAAATCTATGCAGTTTGATGACAGCATCGGGGTCTTGCAGGCTAATTCCCAAGGTAAGGACAGCCTGTAATACTTCTCTGCTGTGCCTATGGGGGACAGGGGCTGGCAAGAGGGATATCCTTCACTCAGTAATTCAAAGAGGCTCACATCAGCCTGTCTGACAATGAAACCTGTGGTCACCACAATGGCTTACAGAGGAGCATCTGTTCTTTCTGCCATCTGGAGATGTAGACAGAAGCCCTGATATATGTCTGCCTTCCCCAGTTTGTTGCCTTTTTGAAGCAATAAAAGTCTTTAAATGGTCACCCTTTTGGCCTTTGCAAACAATGGGCTTTATGACCAGGGTCACTGCCTAAGATGCCAGCTGCATACTACTCTGCTCCATCCCCATGAGTGCTTTCCCATGGAGCTGAAATGGGAGCATTAAGCTTTGCTGTGGTTAGGGGCACATCCAAGGCTCTGCTGATAAAAGGGTAGAGATCTCTAAAGAGTAGGGATAGGGCAGATACTTGAAGCCATGTAGCAAGGAGTGATGTTTGCTGGCTTGTGCATTTTCCTACAGGAGGCACAGAAGCCTTAAATGACACATAGCTGCCTTTTCTCTTGGTCCCAGCCTTCCCTTTCATTTGCTCTGGGATCCTGGACAGGTGGTTCCAAGTAAAGATGCCATCTTGTAGTCACAGGGAATCAGCATAGCAAGTAACCCCATAATGAGTGGCCTTGGATATCAGGATCAGGAAGGATAGGAGATGAGGTATTTTCTTCTAAGTGACAGCTCTATGTGGGTCATGCAAGGCCTACTAGATGGGTGTGGCTGACTGCTGACTGGGGGCCTGACTCCTGTCATTCCAGGAAGCAAAGCCCATGAAGTCTGCATCTGCTGGGGTAGGAAGCTCCTTATTGAAGAGTGGGTACATTGCCACATGCAGGCCTTTCTGGAGGCTTGACTGGATTGTGGAGCTAAGACCTTGGTGCTCTGCTATCTTTGAACAACCCAGCATTACCATCTGCTTCTAGCTTCTAGCTTCTGCCACAGAACCCAAACACCATAGTACCTGAAAGTCTCTTGGTTGCAGGTTCTCTTCCTTGCACTGTCCTGGGGGAGAGATGGCCAGCGAAAGAAGAGTGCTGAGGTGGGACTGGGGAAGTGAAAGACAAGGAGAGGCCTTAATACTTCTCAGTGGGGCCCTGCTGTGAGGGTCAGAGCTACTCTTGGGAGTGTCCTGAGCATTAGTGGCCTTGCTGCTGGGGACTGGGAGAAGAGGCAGGGCCCTGGGGTGGGGGTCGCTTTTGAGATTCACTGTGGCTTTAGGTCAGGTTGTAACACCACCCACTTTACTCTTGCCTGTGGAGTGGTGAATTAGGGCCTCCTTGATTTGGGTTTCTGCAACTCTTCTGAAGATTGGATCAGTCTCCATTTCGGCTGAGTCACTTCCAGCTCCCATTTTTCTGACATGACCTTGCCTGAGGCCCAGTTTTGACCTCTGCATTCCACCATCCTGTCTGATACTCTCAAATGTAAAATTTGGCCCAGCCATGCAACATGCCAAGGCCCTAAGAGACACCTGAGTTCTGCCAGGCTGCATGCACAGGAAATGAAACTTGCCTCCTGCCCAGCTTACCTGAAGAACACTGGGGAGAAAGGATGTGAGAGACAGTAAACTGACCTTCCAGGGGGTGAATGCAGCAAGCTGGTATGCGGTATCTGCCTTGAAGCCCTGGCTCTTTAATTTGTCTTCCTCACCTTCGCCCTGGTGTGAGCATCACCTGGGGCAGCTTGTTGGAGATGCATCTTCTCATGACCCATCTTATAGTACCTGTCAGATCTGCATTCTAATGAGATCCCTGGGTGACTGGTACAAGCTGCTCGAAAGCTGTTGAAATCTTCACACTAACAAACCCAGTGCACTGAACATGCTGATCATCTCGTTCAGACATGCCTCCTGTCCTGAGGAGGGGATAGCAAGGGGATTGAAAAGATTTGAAAGGAGCAGTTCTCCCCTTGGGTAGAGATGCTGAGAACAGAGAAGGCAGGAAAGCCTTTCCTTTCCCCTGCCTTTCTGTGTCCTCCTGGTACACTCATGACCCTAAGGTCTGTAGATGTATGACACTGCACCAATGTTTAGTCACATGTGCACTTGACACAGGTGTTCCTCCCAGCTCCCTTTAAACTTTATCCCTCCTCAGATTCTGTAAAATGTCCAACCTGACAAAATGCTCCCTTTCCCCTCTGCTCAAAGGCCTTAATATTAAGAAAATCAAGAATAAGCAAAGGGAATAAGTTTTACAAAGAGATATGGAGGGAGAAGAGACATTCCTTTTTCTCTTGGAAGACGGGAAGGATGTCTTTGTTTTGTGTTTGAAAGTACACACTCTGTGGCAGCCTGAATATTTGGCTGTCAGCTATTTATATTGAAATGCTAACCCTAGATGGTGTAGTCTGGCAAGGTAAGACCTTGAGGAGGTAACTAGGTCATTAAGCCAGTGCTCTCGAAAGGGATTGGTACCTATATAAAAAGAGACCTTAGAGAGATCCAACATTCCCACTGCCATAGGGAGAATAAGGAAGAGGGCACCATATATGAATCAGAAAGTCTGGTTTAGGATGTCTTAGCATCCAGAAGAGCAAGAAGGAGCTCTCTGTTGTCACTATCCAGTTAACATGCAATACTTGTTTTCGTGGCCTAGATGGATGAAGGTACACCAAAAGCAGAGGAAGGCAGAGGATGAGGTACATGCCTGGCAGGTAGCATTTCTCTTAGCCTCGGGTCAGAGTTAGAATTCAGCAGGAGTCTCCTAGAAGCCAGACGTCAGTTCTGCTCCTAAGGACACAATATTGAAACTCTTTGTAGCCAAAGCTCTATTTCACTTTTCTTTCTCACTCTGCCTTCTCCTATCCTGTCATTGGCCTCTGCAGCAAACTCTGGTATCACTCTGATGTTCCAGTGGCAGTGGTCCAGTGGCAATTCCCAACACTAAGAAGTGGCTCTTCCCCACTGCTTACCTCTAGAGCTCACCCTGCACCCAGTCCTCTGCGTCTCTTTTAGTCATGCACTAGACAGGGGAGCTGAATGTCCCTGCTATTTCCCATCTCTAAGACCTCTTTGACTAACTGGTGTGCCCAGTGGCTTCAGGTACTTGCTTCTCCATCCAGGTATTTGGCAGGTCCACACTCCAAGGGAAGCTGGAATTACCAGCAACAAAGGCATTATGTTGCTCTTTGCATTTTGGTAAACATATCTCATGTCCCCTGAGTAACACCTATAGAAATTTCTAGCACCTGCCAGGCCAGTTTTATCATGATGTATCTTGCAGTCCCACCTTGACACATGCATGATTATGTTTTCATTTTTCCAGAACCCAGGTGGGTCCAGAAATGTGAAGTGAGGACAACTGTTGTGCTCTTGTGTCAGAGTGTTCATGTAAATATGTGGGAAGTTGTTCTAAAGTGCTACAATGGAACAAGAAAGGGGCATATCAACATTGAGAAAGTCCAGCCTCCATGGGGAGGATTTGTGTCTGTGCACTTGCCATGGCATGTTATTGGATCTCTCTCTCTCTCTTTCTCTTTCTCTTTCTCTCTCTCTCTCTCTCTCTCTCTCTCTCTCTCTCTCTCTCTGCTTTGCTTCTCTTCACTTTCCCTTTGAGTGTCACCTTTCTAGCCCACATGGTGTCAGAACTGACCTAGTAGGGATTCTGGACCAGACACTTTCTGAAAAGAGATGGGATGTGATGGCTGGTTGTCAAAAACAATTACGGCAAAAGGTGGCGAGTTCCATGTGGGATGGTATATCCAATGTGACATTTGGGTCTATGAGATGCAGTTTTAATATACAGCAGGCGAAACTGCAGTGACAATTACATAAAGCAGGTGAAGCTGTTTCTTGCTGGTCAGCAAACATCAGCTCAGAACCACTTTACAGCTCTTTACCAGGAACTAAGTGCCTTTATTTACAGAGTGCCTGTCACTTCCCTTTGGTTGGAGAGCTGGTGTATTATTTAGCACGCATTTATCTGGGGAAAACACTTCAATTTAAATCAGCTGGTACAATGGTGCCTCTTGCCAGACCGTTTCCCTGTGGTTCTAAAAGACAAGTAGGGAATCTGATCTTGGGAATGGCAGAGGTCAGGGTTCATTCTCAGAGAGCCTCTGGAATCAGTACCTAAAAAGAGAGATGGTGGTAGAGTTGCTCTTTTTATTTTTTAAAATTAAAAGGTGAAATGAGCATTTGGCACCTTATGTTTGCTTCTGGTCAAGGACTCTTTTAAGGAAAAGAAAGGGATAAGTATGTGTCCCCCATGCATCAGCCACTCTAAAGGCTTAGAAAGGGATAAGTATGTGTCCCCCATGCATCAGCCACTCTAAAGGCTTAGAAAGGGATAAGTATGTGTCCCCCATGCATCAGCCACTCTAAAGGCTTAGATACAGCCTCTCCCTAGGAACAAGGAGCTCTGTGAATGGAAGATGATGACAGTACAAATCAAGGAGGACCAGGTTAGCAAGAGAAGAACACAGAGCGGAGGGGGGAGCTTTTTTTCTCTATTCCCATATCTTCAGAAATCTTCCCCAAAGAGGTGACAACTGGCCATGAGTTGAATGCATGTGGCTATACAGCTCTTGTGAACTTGATGGAGAAACTGAATTTTCCCTCTTATTTCATTTTGAGAAACTTAAACTTCAGTACTATACACTACTCTTCTTATTGCCCTGACAAGAAGCAACTGAAAGAAGGAAGGGGTTGTTCTGGCCTATAGTTTGTGGGGCGATATTCCACTATGGTCAGGAAAGCATGGTAGCAGGAATAGGAGGCCAATTGGTCACATTGCACCTGCAGTCCAGAAACAGTGAGTGAACAGGAAGTGTGATGGACTATAAAACTTCAAGGCCCAGCCCTAGTGATCTTCCCCTAGTATGGCTTTATCGCCTGATGGTTCCACAGCCTTCTCAAGCTGTGCCACTATCAGGGGACAAGTGAGTAAACACATGAGCTGAAAGGGGGAGGGTTCATTTCACCTTTAAACTAGAAGAAATGGTTCTGTGTGGCTAATGGCT